CCCCAACTCCTAACAGGGTACTCCACGGGGACAGGAACCATTGTTTTGTTGCTTGAGATGGGGTCTCGCTATATACGCTAGGTCAGCCTTGAATTCACAGTATCTTCCAGGCTGGCGGCAAATGCACAAACCTCCTGCCTTGCCTGACCGTGTGCTTGGACCACAGGTATGCACTGCCGTGCCCAGCTCCCGGCAGGGAGTTCCGTGAGACCTGCTCATGGCTTCATCTCCCAAATCAAGAACAATCTCTCCTGTGTGAAAATCCTGGCTAACTGTGTGAGCATTTGAGCAAGAGAACGGCTTCCACTGGCACCCTTGAGGGAGGGGTGTGCCCTCTATTCTCCTGCCCCTGGTCGGAATTCCAGCCTGACAGTACCGGGTATGTGGTCTACAGAAAAAGACACCCCAACCAATAGGGCACAATGGGATGGCACGTACCCGGCTCACTGCCACAGGGACTACTGACGCCTGTCATCGGAGAAAGGGGAGAGTGGAACACACCCAGTTCAAGCCATGGCTCTCTGGGCTTCCGATACAAGACACCAGCATGCAGTCAACGGGGCAGCTCAGAGACCGCCATGCGCACTCAGAGGAAAGGGTACTGGGTTCTGTAGGGGGGGGGAACAGGAAAATTGCCCAAGTATGACCTGGGTGACGAGCGTATGGACAAACAGACAAAGTGGGTGATGGCGTTCCCAGCAGAGGGCAGAAACCAGGCAAACGCCTGGGAGGGTGAGCGGCAATAACCGATCCAGACACAGGTTGTCACCTTTCTCATCAATACAACAAAATACATGGCAATACGCTTCAGGAAAGATTGCAATTTGAGGGCACAGCCCCTCGTGCTAGAAAGAGGTGAGGCAGCAGGAGCTCTGGCAGCCACGTGGCATGCAGAGTCAGGAAGCAGAGAGATGAATGCAGTGCTCCGCGCCCATTCTCCATTCCCCCCTTTTCCTTCCGTCCCCAGCCCAAAGTGCTGCTGTATTCAGAGCAAGTCTTCCCTCCTCAGCTGAACCTCTCTGGTATCCCCCCTCAGCAGCGCACCCAGAGGTGTCTCCTGGGTGGTTCCTAACCCAGTCAGAACCATCACAAGCAAGTAGTTGTGAAATGGATTGCCGGGCCTTTGAGAGGGAGGTAAGGACACTGGTAGGTGAGGACAGCTCCAGAAGGTATGTCCTGGGGCAGCTGAGACTGGGGTCTGAGGAGCAAGTGGCCCTGGGGTCACCTCTCCACGCCTTGTTTGAGAGCCCCCACGGCCTAGGCGCCTGCAGGCTCTGGGTCCCCAGTCATGGCCCATGAGGTAGCCCCTTCCACTGCCTCTTGTTTCCAAATCCATCCTCGTCAAACCACTTCACCCTCCTCTCAGATGTGCGTGCGACACGTAAGCTTCAAGGCCCACGGCAAACCTCGGTCGGGCAGGAGCAACCATCCCACCTATGATCCAAGAAGAAAGTCTGCTGTTCACAGAGCAGCTTGAGTCCAAGCCAGCACAAAAGCCCTGGGAACAACTTATATTCAGTCCCCTGAAGAAGAAAAAAAAAGACCAAAATGGCCCAGGGTGGGGCGGGGGTCACATGACAGCCCTGCCCAAAAGCATCTTTTGTCCTTTCAAAAGTGCACTTTTCGGTGCACATTCTGGGGACAATTGGCCTGGCTCCCGAAGCCCACTCTAATTGTATGTAATTTTTATAACTACAGTAATTAGGAATTGCTAAGCCTTCTAATAGAAACGGAATTGAACCTTTATGAGAAGCAAAGGCTCGGGAGGAAAGAGCACTGTGCTTTTGAATGTGTGGACCTCACACCTCATTTCCAGAGATGAACTTCTGGAACCCAGAGGTGGCCTCAGAAACCAGCCCCCTTGGTGGTCACCAGAGCAAAAGCCTTAATCAGCTCCCCCTCACCTGAGAAATCCAAACTTAGAGAACAGAAAGGACACGTGGTCACTGCTGACTCAGAGGCCACTTTATATCTTTTGGGGGACTTAAAGTTTAAATTTTTCCACACAAAAATAGGGATTTTTCTTTCTGGCCAGGCATGGTGGAGCATGCTGTTAAGCTCAGCTCTAGAGAGGCAAAGGCAGGCAGATTGCTGTGAGCTGGAGGCCAGCCTGGTCTACACACAAGTTTGAGGGCTACATGGTGAGACCCTTTCTAAGAAACAAACAGTCTTTCAGCCTCTTGGGAAGCCTCAGAGGTCTTGTACTCCCGGCTGATAACTGGGGACTGACATCATGCCAGTCCTGCCCGACTACCAAACAGTCTTGAATGGAGGATTGAGGACTGAGAAATAACAGACAGAAAAAAAGAGACACAGACGACATAAAAGAAAAAGACAGAGACACAGAATAGCGTCGGGAGGGCTCTGAGTCGATACTACAGTCTCCCCGAGTTTATTTCTCAGGGCCTTTTTATACCCAAAGCAGGGGAGGTAAAAGACCTCCCCCTCTCAAGGACATCATGGCTCAAGGTGCAAACAAGTGTAAACACCTTAGTACTCAAGACGTCTGGTAACCACGCCTTTGGCCAAACGTCCTGTTATCCAGCCTTAAAGAGCAAAGAGACGCTTGAACTCTCTGACCTTGAGTCAAGACGGAATCGAGTCACAAACTGGAGTCCTTTGTGGGCTCCCACAGTGTCACAGGCCCACAGTACCCCAAACTGAGGCCCAGGATCCCAGCTGGCCGCAGCCTCGCCTCTTGCTTCCCACCCCTCCTTTATGCAGCGTTACCGGGCAGAGCCTGGCACACACTCCCCAAGCGCTCTACCCGTGAGCTGCGTCTGTCCTCTTCTCCTCTGAAACAGGCTCCATCCACATTGCCCTGCTGTCTGGACAGACCGGTGAGCTCTCCTGATTCTGTTTTGTAACAATAAAACAAGCTACACAAAGTCCGATAAAAGGGAATGTGAGAAACTGTTCACTCTGAGGCAACATCACTGGAGTAGGCTTTCTAGCCATGGGAGAAATGAGCAGGCTGTTTACAACAGGAAGACATTGAAAGCAAGGTACTGGGAGCTGGGGATGCGGCTCCAGGGCAGAGTGCTTGCTTAGCAAGCCAGAGGCCCCAGGGACGACCAGCAGGGGTGGAGGTGGGGGAGTGGGGGGGGACAGGGACGGGGATGGAGAGGGAGGGCTGGAATGGAGACAGCTCCTTAGACATCCAAGTGATTTCAGCTCAAAACAATGAAGAAGGAATGCAGCCTTCCCATGCCAGCAGACCTGCTTTTCATCTGCAGCTTCAAAGGAGCTCAAAGGCAGACTCCCGGGGTCCACAGCCCTCAGAATCCAGCCTCTGAGTCCAGGGGGTGGGGGTGGGGTGGGGGTGGGGTGGGGGTTCTTCTCCTGCCCTACCCATTCTGTTTGTAGCCCAGAAACACAGCCACGAGGGTAGTCTTCAACCCCACCAGGGGATGAAGTCTGCCCCAAGCTGGGAGCTTTTCCTTTTTCTAAAAAAAAAAAAAAAAAAAAAAAAAAAAAAAAAGAAAAAAAAAAAAAAAAAACACTTTTGCCTTAGAACTGACTTCTATAAACACGAACTGTTTTATTTAATTAAAAACATACTTAAAACTAAAGTGTTCCCACTAACGGCTCCTGAGCCAACACTATCACAGAAATCAGAACATAAGGGGGTTTCAGTGGCTCCCTGAAGGAGGCAGACAGCCAAGTAGCCAGCTACAGCCTGGGGATAGAACACAGAAAAATCCCCGACAGCTTGGATGTAACACATAATCTTTTAAACCTTATGAGATGATTCTAGCTAATCGCTGGGGGTCTCCACATGAGGGCCCTGGGTCAGCAGCTCCGGGGAACTTGTTAGCAATACACACTGGCTGACTCCACAGACCCAGGGAAGGAGGAATGCCAGGATCAGGGAAAACAAGATTACTGGTCTCAAGGAAACAGCTCTTGGACAGGGAGAGGACTCAAGCTGTGAAGTGCTTGCTGCATAAGTGTGAGGCCACAAGTTCGACCCCCAGGACCCACATAAAAAGCCAGGCATGGTGGAATATGCTTGCGGTCCTAGCTGGAAACGTCCTATTGACAAACGCCCTATTATAATTGGTTGCACGCCTAGCCAATGAGAGATGGCTGTCTCAGAAAACAAAGCACTGGAGAGAGATGGCTCAGTGGTTAAGACCATTTGCTGTTCTTACGGGAAACCCAAGTTTGGTTCCCAGCACCTCTAAGGGAGCTCATGACCATGCAGAGCTCCAGTTCCAGAAGATCTGATGCCTTCTCAGACCTCCAAAAGCACAAGGCACATATCTGGTGCATATACACACATGCAGACAAAACACTCATACACATAAATCTAAAAATATTAAAAAGAAAAAATAGGCGGATAGCATCTGAGGAACATGTCACAGAGATCGCCCGATGGTCTTCACATGTACATGTTTGCGCATGTGCTCATACACATGTGCTCACACATATGTGCCTCTACCCACAAAGAAATCAGTTCCTTCAACTTTCTGGCTTCTAAACTTCTATATTTATTTATTGAATTGCATGGATGGGTGCATACATGCTACAGTGTACATGTGGGGTCAGAGGACAACTTGCAGAAGTCACTTCTGTCTTGTGGGTTCTGGGGGTTGAACTCAGGGCATCAGGCTTGGCAACAAGAGTCTTTACCACCTACCTTTATCGGAGAAGTCATCTCACTGCTCTGTTTCTATTTTTAAGTGAAGCCAAGATTCTGAAAACTTATATCCGTTATAAGGATTAGGTTTTCCCAGGAGTAAAGGCATCCTAGAAATTTCTGTTTACTGTCCTACAGGAGATGAACCAGCCACGTGTCTGGCTTTGTAGTCTTGCTGAGGCATTCTTTCCTGAATGGACCTAGTTCTTCTTCTCAAATCCTGCTTCCAGCTGTCAAAGTCAACCAGTCCATCATTAGCGCGTCATTAGTGAATGGGAACGTGACCACCGAGTGTGAGAGCTAACCCGTCAACTGGACTGAGAGAAACCTTGGAGACTGAGCATACTTCTGGGTGAGTATAAGGGCAGAGCTGGTCAATTAACTCAGTATGGGGCAACCCAGAACGTGGGGGACATTATCCCATAAGCTGGGTTCCAGAGGAATAAAGGAGGAGAAAGCCTGAGAGCTGAGAGTTTAGGCTCTCTCTGTCTCTCTGTCTCTGTCTCTCCCTGTCTCTGTCTCTCTGTCTCTGTCTGTCTGTCTGTCTCTCTCTCCCTTCTTCCCTGCCTCCCTCATCCCCATGAGGTGATCTGTCCCAACCTACCACACCCATGATACCTCCAAAAACATGAGCCAAACAAATGTCCCTTACATTGTTTTCTTCAGCGGTTCGGTCACAGCAGTGAAAAACAATGACTATTACCCTGGACATTCACATAAAAACCATGCCTGAGTAATCCCAGCAGTCAGAAGGCTGAGGCAGGAGATTAACACCAGCTCACAAGCTCCAGGCCAGGCAGGGCTACAAAGCAAGACCCAGCCTCAATAATTCAAGAACAAACAAACAAAGT